CAGTTTCATTCTACATGGTGCTGCCGTGGCAGCCGGAGGGAGGGCAGGTGGGGTGGAGAAGGCAGGGGATGGGCGGGAGGGGTGGAGAGGACGGGTATGGGCAGGAGGGGGTGGGGAGGAAAGAGGGAGGGAGTGCATTGCTTCCAGGAATAGGTTCGATACGCCGGGGATCAATCTGGTCTTCTATGAACCTTGTGAACTGACAGAATTACAGGGTTGCAAATTGGAAGCTGCAGTAGACCAAAAGTAGCCAAACCGGCAACTACATCAAACTCCATGTTCCTCTGGAAGAAATGGATCAGTGATGTCCCATGTACTTACGTAGTCACAACCCTTCTTGATTCGACTACTGGACTATCCAATGGAAGTCTTTCTATTTTAAAATGTGGTCATCCGGTATTTGCCTGCTTGGCTGTATTTCGTCTAGTAAACCTCTCAGTTTGCGAGCCTGTAATTCTGTCTGTTCACAGTTTTATTGCAGAGGTACGATGTATTTCATAAGGCGGACACTTTCTTTGAATGGCATATAATAATATGTGAAAACGTGGAATCTTATAGGAAAACTTTCCATTTGAATAAAACCGGCATCACTCGTCGGACAACCTAACAGTTATTAGGCACTTACAGTACCGTTGAGTCGTGCTCGCGCTGTGGTGTCAACAGATCTGCATAAACACTATAAGGGAATGGAAAAGAGAACTCGTGCTGCAGGACTGCCCGCTGGACGCAAAAACGCTTTTTTGCAGTATTATAATGAACATTATTATGTTGAAACATTGGAATCTATAAGAAAATTAGCGTCAGTTTCAGCTAGTTGAGAATTTCGGCTATCGCATAGTGGCTGAAGTGGACCGTGCAACGTTTTTCAATGCGAGTACAGAGACAGACTCTCTAGTAAGTTTTCAATGGTTTCAACAATTAAAACATGTGACAATATGGCCTTATATAATGGCGGTATCTAGTTGAGTATGAAGGAGCAGTGTCTCCAGGCTAATGTCAGGGAATTAGGATTCTGTGAATGACATGGGTGGTTTTATTGTAACACTCATAGCTAAAGAATTTTAATGGAATTTAACCCTTTTTGGTTTTTGAGGCCGAGTAGAGATCCTTTTCTTGAAAGATGGTTGCGAAACTTCTGAACTTCTTCTGTTAATTCCTTGCAAATGTCGCATGGGAAGCAACTAACTCGAAAAGTATGCGCAACGTTCAGCAGTGTTCAATCACTTCCAGTTTAGACTTTTTTTGTCAGAAGAGATAGTGTGAATATATACGTTCCAACTTTTCAAGCATGTCAATCTTATGTAATCCGGACGCTCGCCCCCCCCCCCACCTTCAAACTGGCTATGCTCCCCCTGGCTCACAAATTCCCCGTTTAGCACTGACGTTATCGCTAGGTTCCGCTAAGAGGGTGCAGACAAGCAGCGCACGTCTTAGCCGGAAGCCCCTTCCCCCAACTAGCTTGTACCCTTGTTTTGCTACTTTTCAGTTTTAAGTTCCGCAAAAACGCACCTTGTGGGACAAGGTTGACGCGCTTGCGCGTCAGGCAAGTCGCGCCCGAAGGTCGCTCAGGTCCCATGCGACGAAAAAAGCTAAAAAAAACTGAAACCTGTCGTCAGCGTGTTAAACAAAAATTGTATACATGCTCTCTTCAAAATCGCAACATATGAACACTTCGGCCTCTTTTCGTCCAAGCTGAAATTGTGAATACGGAAATGTCCATGTCAGTGTGTTTATCTAGAGCTTTTCAGGAGGGAAATGGAAATGACAAGGTACGACTCGTCTTCAAAGAACCATGGAGAGACGAAGCTTTGGGCGCTCACATCGGCTTCTAACCTACTATTTTACTGATTTTTCTCTGCCCCCTGTTCGTGAATTCATCGTGAACGAAAGCTTTTAAGGTTGAGTGATAAATAATGTTTCCGCTTTCGATACCGATATCTTGACAAATTCATATTTTCTCCTTGAAATGAACTTTTTCCACATACATCATCTTCCTTCCAACATCCTAGTTCTGTCCATCGCATGCTATTTGCAAGTGAGTGAATACCCCTCCCTCCAAACTGAATGGGCAATTTACGACACAAGAAATGATCACAGCTCCGTTTTGAGGTGTTTGCGACATCACGGCTTTTTTCTCTCAGGGAAAGCGGAACATGTGCTTTTCTTTTATACAAAATCATGCGAACGGTATGGATAGAGAAGAATCATGGCCAAGTTTTCATCTAATCTCCGAGTTTTCGTTCGTCGACTCGTAAGAGTGATCAAGCGGGTGCCTTCATCTCGCGCCACAAAAATAAGTCGATACAAGACAGTCTCGTTAACCCAAACCATGCGACACAGCACAACACGCCCAAATTGAATGTGTGTATCCGTGGCACGAACCATATATGAAAACCAGTTTTCATTATTTGAGGTCCGCGGTTGTTTGAGATCTCTGATAGTTACTTCTTTTTCTTTTCGCCTTCGCCCTCCTTCTTCTCACCTCCTGCGGCTGCTGGAACAGCGGCGCCTGCGCCACCGCCAGCCGGGCAGCGACTGGTTTCTTCTTACCACCGCACTGTACCAACACCACCAAAACGCGACAAAAACAACGATGAACCATGGGTGATGGTGATCATGCTTCAAAGCGCAGTACTCGTTAGGATTGGGTACATAAGTCGCTACGAGTTTTAAAATACGTTAGGTTCCCTACACAACACTTTGGCATAAAAAGCTTTATGACAAGGGTGTGAAAAAGACGTAAACTACTTATAACTCAAGCCAATAAATGCCAATTTTCCCACCTTTATATCATAAGCAATTCTGTTCCTGAGGAAATGATGTAGAACCTTTCCATTTGCCAACTATGATTTGTCCATAGATCCAATACCTCTGTACTATCAAGGGGGATAATTCAAAATGGTATTTATACCAGAGAGTATGGGAGGTATACTCGATATCGGTGAGGGGTGGGCGTGACACCGGAGTGACGTGCACTTGATAGAAACTGTGTGGATAAGCTGCTTCCAACCTACAGAGTGCACTCTGATTCGATGGCCTAAATTTCCTGGTGATTTGGCTTATCAACATTCTTCGCCTATCCCTACTATGTATAATTCGCTAAGTACGTGTGTGTACGTCCGTCTGTCACGAATTTATAGCGCGGGTATCAGTAGTTGTCAGGAGTTGATTCAAGACAGAGTATAGGGGCGGGACGGGAACATATTTGGTGAGGTAGCAAAGGTGATTACAACTATATTAGGGCGGATAAAGAGCGTTAGAATGCAGATGTTACGAAATACACTGCATGCGTCCCAGAAACTGTGAGGCGTTGGCCGCAATACATTGGATAGGAGTTAAGACGGGAATATATTTGGCGGGTGACAGAAACTGACACCCACTGATAGATGCTGATAAGGAACTCTAGAAGGGAAGGTTAACGGATCTCTAGAAGGGTCATGTTTGATGAGTGATGTCCCATATTTTTAATGGCCTAATACTAAAAAAACTCCAAAATACTAAATGTCGAAATCCCGTGACTCAAAGAGAGCTCTGCCCTAAGCGAATTCTATTCTCACAGAATGCAAAAACGGCTACGTTTCCACTAACAGCAGTAGATATTCATGGTTTTTGGCGGGGGGGGGTGTTCCGTAATTACGCACCGCACTGCAGTTGCTTGACTCGAGCGTCGTGTGATCGGCGGTTGACTTTCAGCCAGTGTGCAGAAAGTTTTGTGCCCTTCCCGACCGTTTCGGAACTACGCTCCATATAACATCCGAGACAAAGACAATTGCTCTGGATCGGACTCGTTTGCCAGACAGACGGTACGTGTTTGCCCACCGATTAAGTGCCGGGAACCGCCAACGCAGCTTATTGCTTGCCGCTCGTGTGGCCAGCACCTGTTCATACTTGACCGCTACTATAACCATGACGAATACGAATATTCTATTATAATAACACCAGTTCAGCGCTGCACACTACCGCGTGCATGATACGGTAGCACGGTAAAGCTGGCCAGCCGAGGTCGCCGTCGAGTTATTCACGTAATAACTTGTCGGCTGTAGGGATTGCGATTCAAGCCAAATGCATCGTTAATATTTTGAACTGCTCCCTCTAGTTTCAGTCTATTTAAAGCTAAAAAAAGAAAATCATGCCAACTCGCTCATCGAATGTACCACATTCAAAGCCCTAAAAAAGTTGTAAGAAAATGTTTTAGAACAAAGCTGAGCTAAATGGTGGATAGAGCAGGGAAAGCTCTTCAAGATGTTATCCATACCGATGGCAGTTTCCTTCAGATTTCAAGCTGAAGAGTTGAGAGAGAGATCCAGAGCTGAGCAGGGGAAACGAGCAGCTTGAGAGCATTTAAGAACATCGAGGCGAGTAGTGAAGACGAAGAACATCCGGCTCCGTGCCCACCTCTTCGATTCCGCTGTCCTTCCTGCCCTAACCTACGCCTCAGAGACTTGGACTCTGCGCAGGCAGGACGAGCATGCGGTCAGCGTTATCCAACGCGCTGTCGAGAGGACGATGCTAGGAGTAACCCTATACACGAACTACGCCAACGATCGAAGATCAGGGACGCTGCCGTTTTCGCCAAGGAATCGAAGATAAGGTGGGCCGGACACGTCATGCGATTTTGCGATGACCGTTGGACCAGAGCGGTTACCGACTGGATCCCTCGGGACGTCAAACGAACACCGTCAACCGCCGAGACCTTCCTTCCTTAAAAACTTCACGCCTTTCGCTGTGGTCCCTTCCACCAACACCTCGCGTAGGTGACGCGTGTGCTACAGAAAAGGAGATAGTGGAGTTTATCGCATAATCATGACGTGATGGTAGAATTTCCCTCTTCCATCTCACCTCCCTTCCTCCCCTCTCTCCACTGCCCTCCAGCTGCCATGCAGCACCATGCGGAATACCGGAAGTGTTCATTAGGTGTTTATGTAGCCGTAATGTAAAATAATTATATGACAAAACAAAAACCTCGACCCAGCAGTTTTTTTAGCGGCTTGTTTATGCATCATTAGAAGATACCGTTTGGACAGACGAGCATCTGAAGTAAGGCGTGAATTATATTGTTCTGCTGTAGTCACGTACGACACGCGATGCATTTACGCGTTAAAACGTGTGCTCGTTTTCTCTGCGCTTTCAACGAAGAGAGAACGCGTCGAGCAAACTCGCCAACTGTACTAAGCGCCGTTCATATAGGAGGTGGAGGATGGACACACGCTCGCGCGCGGCGCTCAGGGCTCCGCCCGCGCGGCGGAGCGTACGCTGCGACGCTCGACCATTTTTGGATTGCTGCCCTGGACCGAAGGGGTAGCGTCGTTGTTGGCATGACCTTCAGAATGGCTACCGCAGAAAGCGCGTCGCTGCGAGCGCAATGTACGTGATTGCGCGCAGCGTCGTAATTCACGCCTTACTTCAGGTGCTCGCTCTGTCCAAACGGCTTATCTCTCCATTTAGCTGCCTTTTCACTCACTTAATTTTGCGGGCAGACAGACACACATACAGAAAATACATAAAACCGAAACACCAAGTAAGCGCTTTATAAAATAAGGGGATATGCTCGCGACTAGTTCGCGTTGGGGCGCAGGTGTCTCTCTTACGTAGGGTCTTCCGAATTAATGCACAATCTTTCAGGTACATACTTCTGAGTTCACAGACATTTTCCACTTTCATGGAGCTGCCTACTTTGGCTTGCTTCTTCAGAACTCTGTTATGAAGTGAAGGAGTGAATATTTGAGTAACCACAGTCTTCTTCTGTTGGAAGGTCTTTTGCGGGCTTAAAAGAATCCACGAAGTCAGAGCTTCCGTAGAGATTTCTTGAAGAAAACTATCGTTAAAAAATAGTCCCGTTGATCCGTTTTTCCTCCGAGACTTGTTGAGTTACCCTCCTTTAAGCGAGCGTTTAACTTTCAACCACTCTTAAGCTTCCTGAAGACAGATTCAACGATAAAAAGGTAGCTCATTGGAAATAAGGGTAGAGGTGGTCAGTGGAGCAGGGATGAAGAAGAAACCATTGAAACGGCCCGAAACCCGAGAAATAGACCCCTTCCTTGCCCGTTGATTTCCGCACTGATGCGAATCTCATCGATGTACGTGTAGGACGTGTTTACAGCAACTGCTGGCTTTATGCTATCAACCGACATGGCCATAAAAGTTCAGCAATGAGAATTGATTGTTCCTGATTTTCTTATTTTTCCTATTTATCTGGATTTTTTTTCTTTAAAGGATAAGGGGCGGAAGTGGTGTAGTGGACAAGTGGCGCGCTTACCACGCGAGCGGTCCGGGGATCAAATCCTGGGTCGTGAGTCGCCCGGGCCAACCAAGCCTTCCATCCCTCCGGGGTCGGTTAATTGGTACCAGACTTGTCTGGGAGGATAAAAACACTGACTTGTACATCGGCTGGCCCCCGCAAGTCATTGTATAGGCCACATCGCATTCAAACGCCACTACGAATGTACAAATGGAAGTAGAATGCGTGCCGCATCCCAAAAAGGGATTGATCAACGGCAAATGCTTTATCCTTTATCCTTTATCCTTTTTTGTTTGCTTCTCACCTTGAATTTAACTCTCACTAAAATGCATGATGGCATTCACGATAATAGTCGTAGTATACGCTTTGAAGCCGAACTTCGCAGTTGAAGATCCGCTAAATATTCCTTCTACGACCTTCCAAACAACAACTTAACATCTAGTGTTCCAGGTGGTTGTTTGGAAGGTCGCGTGGAAACAGTGGGCGGGCTCAATGGGTTGGGGCGGCGCCAATGCTCCAACCTAGGCTTTAGCGCCTAAACCTTGTGGAATCACCCTCGCACACTTCTGCACATGTTCACGCTTGCGTTTGCAT